CCCAGACATGAATGACTGACAGGTTCATTTTAACTAATAAACATATTCATGAACACACACAAAATATGTGTTCCGTGGTTCTTATCTTATGCAGCAATGTCATTTTTTAATTTAGCATTTCTCTCCAGCCACTGGGTGAGAAACAAAAACATTTATTATGGAACATATTTGCTTCTTTACAAATGCAAATGTAACACTTGTCAATCTTCATGTGTGTGTGTTGTCACAACATTTCCATGATCCACATTGTGTGCTGTCACAAAATTTCCATGATCCACAATATGTGTGCTGTCACAACATTTCCATGATCCACATGTGTGTGTGTGCTGTCACAACATTTCCATGATCCACATTGTGTGCTGTCACAACATTTCCATGATCCACATTGTGTGCTGTCACAAAATTTCCATGATCCACAATATGTGTGCTGTCACAACATTTCCATGATCCACATGTGTGTGTGTGCTGTCACAACATTTCCATGATCCACATGTGTGTGTGCTGTCACAAAATTTCCATGATCCACATGTGTGTGTGCTGTCACAACATTTCCATGATCCACATGTGTGTGTGCTGTCACAACATTTCCATGATCCACATGTGTGTGTGTGCTGTCACAACATTTCCATGATCCACATGTGCGTGTGCTGTCACAACATTTCCATGATCCACATGTGAGTGTGCTGTCACAACATTTCCATGATCCACATGTGTGTGTGTGCTGTCACATTTTTTCCATGATCTGCATGTGTGTGTGCTGTCACAATATTTCCATGATCCACATGTTAGTATGCTGTCACAACATTTCCATGATCCGCATGTGAGTGTGATGTCACAACATTTCCATGATCCGCATGTGAGTGTGTTGTCACAACATTTCCATGATCCATATGTGTGTGTGTGCTGTCACAACATTTCCATGATCCACATGTGTGTGTGCTGTCACATTTCCATGATCCGCATGTGAGTGTGCTGTCACATTTCCATGATCCACATGTGAGTGTGCTGTCACAACATTTCCATGATCCGCATGTGTGTGTGCTGTCACATTTCCATGATTGATCCACATGTGAGTGTGCTGTCACAACATTTCCATAATCCACATGTGTGTGTGCTGTCACATTTCCATGATCCACATGTGTGTGTGTTGTCACAACATTTCCATGATCCACATGTGTGTGTGCTGTCACAACATTTCCATGATCCACATGTGTGTGTGCTGTCACATTTCCATGATCCACATGTGAGTGTGCTGTCACAACATTTCCATGATCCACATGTGAGTGTGCTGTCACAACATTTCCATGATCCACATGTGAGTGTGCTGTCACATTTCCCATTTCCCATGTGAGTGTGCTGTCACATGTGAGTGTGCTGTCACATTTTCCATGATCCACATGTGAGTGTGCTGTCAACATTTCCATGATCCACATGTGAGTGTGCTGTCCACATGTGAGTGTGCTGTCCACACATTTCTATGATCCACACATTTCCATGATCCACATGTGAGTGTGCTGTCACATTTCCATGATCCACCATGATCCACATGTGAGTGTGCTGTCACATGTGTGTGTGCTGTCACATTCCCATGATCCACATGTGAGTGTGCTGTCACATTTCCATGATCCACATGTGAGTGTGCTGTCACATTTCCATGATCCACATGTGTGTGTGCTGTCACATTTCCATGATCCACATGTGAGTGTGCTGTCACAACATTTCCATGATCCACATGTGTGTGTGCTGTCACAACATTTCCATGTCACAACATTTCCATGAGTCCACATGTGTGTCACAACATTTCCATGATCCACATGTGATGTGTGTGTGCTGTCACAACATTTCCATGATCCATGAGTGTGCTGTCAACATTCCATGATCCACATGTGTGTGCTGTCACATTTCCATGATCCACATGTGAGTGTGCTGTCACAACATTTCCATGATCCACATGTGAGTGTGCTGTCACAACATTTCCATGATCCACATGTGAGTGTGCTGTCACATTTCCATGATCCACATGTGAGTGTGCTGTCACAACATTTCCATGATCCACATGTGTGTGTGCTGTCACATTTCCATGATCCACATGTGTGTGTGCTGTCACAACATTTCCATGATCCGCATGTGTGTGTGCTGTCACAACATTTACATGATCCGCATGTGTGTGTGCTGTCACAACATTTCCATGATCCGCATGTGTGTGTGCTGTCACAACATTTCCATGAGCATAAAATTAAAGCAAGGAAACCACAGAAATGCTATTTATAATAAATATAAATGATTCTGATTCTCCCAGGTGTTAACATATGTCAAAAAGATACTAGTCTGCTGTTAGCAATGCCTATCCTAAACAAGCTATAATAATAAGAAAAGAAAACGACTCTTCCTTCCGGGGAATTGAACAAAGCTGTTTTGTGGCTTCTCAGGTCGTCTGGATCAAAATAAGTAAGTAACAAAACTCCTTGACTAAAACAGAAAAAGCAACCCTAATTTCCCCATCTGGCTATCATTATTTTTTTTTTAAATGCATAACTATATATCAAAGAAATGAACAAATTTATTTTCATAGTATCACAATTTGGGCACACAGTTACATTCAACTCTTCCAAACACTCATTTTTCATACTGCAGTTGTATTTTATTGATGTACATTTAATGTGTTCATGTCATGTGGCTTACTGAAGATGTGCAGGACCCACATTTTAAGATCAACTGGCACCTGAAGGGTGACCTGCAGTCTGTATGATACAGGCGACCGTTAACTTTCCCATTTTTAGTTACTAGATTGAGATCAATTGCCAGATGGTCCCAAACAATGCTTGCCTCTGAAAGAATTTGGAGCCAGGAAATCAGCACTCAGGCTAAGAGGCTACAAAACCATTTCTAGTATGACAATTACACAGGAATTATTTACATTATCTTCTTCACGTTCATCAACTGTAAACTCTGGCATACAGTTTTGGTTGTTTGTCCACTTCTGGACTTTGGTCGTGTTGCAGGACCCGAATTTTGTGTGCACATCTGTTTTACAAATCTGTCTGATCTGTATGCAGACTGTTGTTCCTCACCTCTCAAGCAGGTGCACCCCACTTGGAATTCAAAGAAAACACATCTAGTACATTTTACAAACTGAGAATTTACATAATAAGTAAACTGTCCTCCACAACTTTTACTACAGATACACACAAAAACTAACACACATAAGTTTTAAGCAAATAATTGCATAAACCAAAGCAAAGTTTGAATAAATAATTGGATAAACCAAAGCAAATTTGAAATAAATAATTGCATAAGCCAAAGGAAATTTTGAATAAATAATTGCATAAACCAAAGCAAAGTTTAAATAACAAAATTCCATAAACCAAAGCAAAGTTTAAATAACAAAATTCCATAAACCAAAGCAAAGTTTAAATAACAAAATTCCATAAACCAAAGCAAAGTGTAAATAAATAATCGAAGCAATATCTTCCCTTTGTAAATATAAACAAAGAAGACAGAAATAACAGATTCCACACTCGATTGACTGGCAGATTTCACTGTATCATGTCGGGTGCATACTACAGAAATTGATCCAATGAAACAAACAAATCCTTTTAACTTAAACACACAACATTCAAATGTACCTGAAGTCCTAATCTGGCAGTAAGACTGTTTGAGAAAACTGAATTTGATGTTTTAAAGTAGACAACAGTAACACTTTCTGAAGAAGCTCACAACACTACATGTGAGTGTTGTGTGTTCTGTATTTTAGCCAAAAGGATTGACTGGATTTTTTAAATGGTTATTACTGTAGAATGCATGCAGTTAAATATCTTAGGCAATATATTGTGTAAACTGTTTGAGTCTTTGTTTGAATTCAATAAATAATCATATAACATAACAGTCAGTGATGTTTATCTAGAATAGCTGGAGCAGAGCAAAATGTCAAAATATTCATGATGAGTGGATGCAATCTACAAATGCAATCTACAAATATAAATACACTTATTTTTTTTTTTTTTATTCTAATCAAATAATTGCAATGTAGCATGAAAGGTCTGAGATGGTAAGTCAGCTGATAGACTGAAAACTAGTGGCAGTATACAATAACAGCAAACTGACAAGGTACTAAGAGTAATAGCAAACTGACAGGGTACTAAGAGTAATAGCAAACTGACAGGGTACTAAGAGTAATAGCAAACTGACAGGGTACTGACAGTAATAGCAAACTGACAGGATACTGAAAGTAACAGCAAACTGACAGAGTACAGTCAGTAACTGCAAACTGACAGTAACAGCAAACTGACAGAGTAGTAACAGTAACTGCAAACTGACAGTAACAGCAAACTGACAGTAGTAACAGTAGCAGCAAACTGACAGGGTACTAAGAGTAATAGCAAACTGACAGGGTACTGACAGTAACAGCAAACTGACTGAGTACTGACAGTAACAGCAAACTGACAGGGTACTGACAGTAACAGCAAACTGACAGAGTAGTAACAGTAACAGCAAACTGACAGGGTACTGACAGTAACAGCAAACTGACAAGAGTAGTAACAGCAAACTGACAGGGTACTAAGAGTAATAGCAAACTGACAGTAACAGCAAACTGACAGGGTACTGACAGTAACAGCAAACTGACAGAGTAGTAACAGCAAACTGACAGGGTACTGACAGTAACAGCGAACAGACAGGGTACTGACAGTAACAGCAAACTGACAGTAACAGCAAACCGATGAGTTACTAATGCAAACTAACAGGGTACTAAAATTACTAGCAAACTGACAGGGTACTAACAGTAACAGCAAACTGACAGAGTACTAACAGTAATAGCAAACAGATAATTTATAATAGTAAAATAACATGATACTGGCTAGAAGTTACAAGAGTCTCTTTAAATAGATGCGACATGCTATAAGCAAATCTTACTAATATTTACAATACCCTGTTGGCGAAAAATGTACATACAATATATAAAACTTAACATTGGTACAGAAACTAAAAACATACTGTATATTTTATATTCTGAAAAATCCTGTAATCTTTCCCTGACCCTTGATCTGAGACAGCAGTCGTCTTCTACACGACTTCACAGATTTATTCTGTTTGGGTGTGGTGATTTCCTGATTTGACGACCGCTGAATAATTTTTGGAGATGCTTTTGTATTCAAGCTGGTCTCTTTTGGTTTAACTTTTCTGTGTGGTTCTGGTGCATGACTGGTGGGAGAAATGATCAAGTTCTCTTTATCAAGCACAGAAGTAGCAGGTCTTTTCTGTCCCTTGCTCTTGATGTTCTGGACATTCTTCACATTTGAAAGTTTGGACACGTTGGTGCTTGTGGTCTGGTGTGATGTCTGCTCACCAGCATCCACTCTTGGGTGAACAATGGTTTTACTGTTAGAGAAACCATTGGCTGATATGAACAAGTGAGGGATATTCTATGTTATCTTACTTAAATAATGTGAACAGAAACAGTACAGTGCACAGTTTATTGCCTGGTATATATCTCGGCTTCATATTTCATTCTCATTCGGATTTGAATCCTGGACAATTAATAAACAAGTCAAACAATTTCTTGAGGCCTAGGAGATGTAGTTTTATAGAGAAATCTTTAGAACTCCTTGGACAGCCAAAAAGGGTAAGCTAGATTTTTGAAAGATTGCCCCAAAGACAACTTATCACAAACATCAGAAAGAGACAGTTGTCATTTGTTGGTCATGTTATGAGAAGAAGGAAACTGGAGTACAATGCCACTAGAAAGATCTGTGGATATAAAGACACAGGAAGACAACGTGAGAATATTCCTGACAGCCTTTTCTCATGGTTTGGAGGGGTGTCAGCCCGTGAACTGATACATGCTGCTGAATATAACAGATTGTGGAGAGGCATGATCACCCATGCCAGTCGACAAGGCACTTGATGATGATAATATATCTCTGCCAGTCCCAAGCCTGGGTGAAAAAGGAGGAGGGCTCAGGCTGGGAGTGGCTACCCCCACCCAATACATACACAAAAAGCTGCCTACAGAAACATTTGTAAAGAAGCCATTCCAGCAAACTAAAATTTGTTAAGAGAAGCTAAAGGCGCTGGACAGGATTTTATCCAAGATTTCGAAAAGACTGAACAGTTTAAAATAAAATGGAAGACTATACAGTAAGCCCTATGTGATTGTATAGTGGTACAACAGGATAATGATGATATTTCACTGTATCTTCTCAGGTGCATTACTACAGACCCCGCATCAACCTATAATGAAGCACAAGACCTTCAAATGAAACACACAGAACATACTGTTTCTTGCCACACCGCACTGCACATCTCATCAATGAAAGTCTAAGAGTAACCTTGTGATCATTACAAAAGTCTACGATTCAACATGTGATCCCTTACTTTACGATCAAGATTACCTGTCTACTTTGCCTTTCACCCCCATATGAACACTGGCTCTAAACAAACTTTTGTTAAGGCCCTTATTAAAATATTAAAGAATGGTTAGAGAGATTAGGTCGTTAATTTTAAGTTGATGCACTTTAGTCGCCTCTTAGAATCTGCACAAGGCTGGACATGCAATGGGACAAATGACATTTTTCAGCACTAATACGAGGCTGAGTTTGGTCCACAAGTTTCTAAAAGTTTCACCCCGTTACTGACTGAAAACAAAACAGATAACTAAATACTGCAACTCTGGTGCATGTAAAAACTGGGGTGGCCATCTTTAAACTGTCGTTATAACATTACTGTGTTCATCTGCACTGTGATGTCACATGCTTAACACTCTTGACATGCTTAACAACAATACTGACAGGGTTAAGGACAATGGCATGGTTATTATGATTTATATCACACTCTAAAGTTTTTATCTGAAGTACCCTCAAATTAAATTGGCACTGTGAAATGTAAACAAAATAATGTGCATACGCAACAATCACAATGACTCAACTGCAGAGCATACAGACATCTTATGGCTAGTGTTCAATCTGAACTAACTAATAACCACTGTAAACAGATAACAACCGACTACCATGCAGCAGCATGCAACAATTTACTACACACAAAACTGTTTTACTTTTTTTTAAAAAGAGAAAGTAGGACGCAACAGAGCCGGTGGCTTCAATTCCTTGTAATAAAATAAAATCTCTGAAAATTTGCTACTTCACATTCTCATGTGGGTTCTGCAGCTCTATTCTGGAGAGGGCAAGTGAAAAGATTAAATGCCTCTTAAGAAGCATTCATGAAATGCAGCTAATTAAACCTTCCATGGATTTACTGGGCCAAAAGACATAGATATCACAGCCTAGCTGTACACAACACAATGTGCCAAATGCCCTTTTAAAGAAATATGCAGAAGAAATGAAGAATAAGCCACAGCACTATGTGCCAAATGTTCTTTTAAAGAGATATGCAGAAAAGGGGAAGAAAGCTCTTTCAATTTTAAATTTCCTAGTCACTGATTGCAATTTTCACAAACACAAAATTGTTTTAATACATGAAAAAAAAACTAGTGTAATGCTTAAAGTTCTGAGAAAAGTATCTGAGTAAGTGAATATTTCAGCATGTGACCTGCCTGAATATTTGAGTATGTGACCTGCCTGAATATTTGAGTATGTGACCTGCCTGAATATTTAAGCATGTGACCTGTCTGAATATTTGAGTATGTGACCTGCCTGAATATTTGAGTATGTGACCTCCGTAAATATGTGACAACATGCAGCTGAAACATCTGCTGACAACCAGTAACCTACCTGGGTAGAACTTCTATGGTACTCATGGTCCTCTGTGTTAGCAGTAACTCTGGGTTGTTCTCAGCGTCTACATAAAAGGCTGCAGAGACCTAGGGAACAAGCAAGGCCTGGTCAATAATCTTAGTGGCTTGGATATCATCATCATCATTAAATAAGTAAAGTACAAGCCCTTTCTCCAGGCTTTGAAGTATATTAAACATATGGTGCTACTTCCATATTTTTATAGACCAATCAGCATTTGATGGGGAATATTGCCACACTACTTCCTTTCTGGTCAATATGGGGGATAGGCAGTTTTCTGTTTTTAATCGTGGCAAGTTTTTGCTTCTGACAATACTTGGCCATTGCATTTTCCTACGTATGTAGACTGAAAGGATATAGTTCTGTTGCCCAGCTACTAAGCTGTAGATTTCGTTTGGAATGCTTTTCAACTGCCCAATGTGGCTTTGTGTTGTCAATTGCAGATTCGGAAAATGGTTTAGTGGCCTGTTGCCAGAGAACTGGTGGTGCCTTATGAAATTATCTGCATGTGCAGCTACTGGTATGTTGTAACTTCTGCTTCCATCGAGGATGATATGCATTTCTTGTGCTGGACTGTTTGTGTTGCCACTTCTGACTGCTGCCTTATACATTTACTGCACATGAATGCTACTGGCTTTGTCGAGACTGCATCTGTGTCCATTTTTTCATATGTGACAATGAAGGGTATTCTGTGTGGTTTTCACTAGCCCAGGAACAAGGCAACTATGAGGTGACCCATGTCCTCTCTCACACACCTCCACTGCAGCTTTTTTTTTATTCTCCTTTTTCTAGCACATCCTTGATTGTTTGATCTTGATCTCATTCACTAATGTCTTCATCAATCTCAGTTTTTGTAATGTTTATGTTTTCTCCTGCTGCCATGACACTGTTAGGCAATCTGAAACCATTTATTTATTATCTAAGGATTAGTACAGATAAGATTATTTTCCTTATTTTGTTTAATTGGCCCCATGTCTGACAGGAAGCGCTGGGGGGGAGGGGGGAGGGACATTTTTGACGATTTGCCGAAATTGGATATTTGGCCAAAAGGCGGACATATCATTAGCTGTAAACCACAACACAATATGAAAAATACCCAATTAAAGATGAACATAGACAACGAAAAAGTTTCCTAATTTTTCTTCTTTCAAGTTGGAATATTTACATGTGTGTTAACACTCCAAGAACTAACTTAACTGTACACACTAATTTATAAATCAAACAACATTATCTAACAATTGGTCATTACTGTGTTTTTAAAATAAAATGAGACAAGTAGAAGAAGCATATTACAACCAATTTTTAAGAAGAAAATATCAGGACAATATTTAAGTAAATAAAATTTAAGATCAACATGCTGAAATGGAGGAGTTACACATTAGGAAAAAATATGAACAGTAGCAAGTCGATGAGGGGACCATACTGAAAACATCATCTGATGTGTGTTCAATCCTCAGTAAGGCTGAGCAGATGCTATCCTTACACTTGTAGACGAATGCTTGAGCAAGTGATCCTAATTCTTCAGCTAAGACAAAACCTTTCTATCACACATCATCATAAAGTAAGAACATTATAATAAGAATCAAACAAACAGCTAACCAATTCAAAACTACGGCAGGTGTACAAACTTACAAAGTTCCTGTGAGATCGTGAAACTGTCGGTTTCACCTGGGGTTTGTCATTGTCTGAGTCATCTTCTTTGGCATCCATGATTGTAGGAGACCTGAAAGATAGACATGTAGCAACTTATGAGCACTGTCAAAATTACGAGAAGACAAAATATATTGCACAGGCACAATTGATTGCCTGGTATATATCACTGTATCAAGCAAGTATATCAGCTGGTTGTTCACACTCTCGTTCAAAGATTTTTAGTTTTAATCTGCCTCAAGTCTGATTTTTTACTTTACCGACCTTGGTTGCCAGATCAACTCAGTCTAAAATCGATACCAGGTCACAGGAAGTAAAAGTGACTGGCATGTTGATCACATGACCCATTCGGTACTGACTGGTCTATAAAAATGAGCAGCAGCATCATTTGCCTGATGTACCACAGGCGTAAAAAAGGCCTCTTTTACCTTAATTTTTATATTTCAGTGTTTCTTTCCTGGTGCATACCACAAATTTCATTTCAATGAAGCATACTAAATTATTCTTTACAATAGAAATTCACAAATCACAGCCTATTATTTCACTGAATGCTTCATGCCACAGAAGTCTTAGACTAACCACATGTATCAGTTTATGATTTTCCTGAAAACATTTAGGTGACTTTATACTCCATCATATTTGTGTTTAGTCTTTAGCACTTATAAATGTAGAGCATCCCCAGACCACATACCAGAGTATGACTGTCTGAAAGCAATATTTCTCTTACCTGAACTGGGTGAGCAGACATGGAAATCGTGTGGGTGTGGAAGAAGAAAAGCTGACATCACTCATGAGCAGCATGTCCAGCTGGGACTCCACAAGAGCTGTTCTGTCCAGAAACTGCTGGATAACTCTCAAACACTGAGAACCTAATAGTGAACTGCTACGACTGCTTGCCTCCTGAGGAAACATACAGGAGATTAGAATGAATGCAGGAAAGTAGATTGGAGATTTACCTGTATAAAGAATGTGGGAAAGTAGATTGGAGATTTACTTGTATAAAGAATGTGGGAAAGTAGATTGGAGATTTACTTGTATAAAGAATGTGGGAAAGTAGATTGGAGATTTTACTTGTATAAAGAATGTGGGAAAGTGGAGATTGGAGATTTACTTGTATAAAGAATGTGGGAAAGTAGATTGGAGATTTACTTGTATAAAGAATGTGGGAAAGTAGATTGGAGATTTACTTGTATAAAGAATGTGGGAAAGTAGATTGGAGATTTACTTATATAAAGAATGTGGGAAAGTAGATTGGAGATTTACTTGTATAAAGAATGTGGGAAAGTAGATTGGAGATTTACTTGTATAAAGAATGTGGGAAAGTAGATTGGAGATTTACTTGTATAAAGAATGTGGTAAAGCAGATTGGAGATTTACATTTGTAAAGAATGTGAAAAGATACAAATAAGCTTATAATGAATGTGGAGAGGTGGACAAAAACTTGTAATGAATGTACAAAAGTAGACAAGGGCTCATAATGAATGTGGGAAACTAAAAGGGAGATAATAATGAATGTGGGAAGGTATATGAGAGCTTATTATCCCCCGTGTGGGTTCCGGGGCCCCATTGTGGGGAAAACAAGAATAGACCCACTGCCTCCCCAAAAGCATGTCGTAAGAGTCGACTAATTGGGAAGCTTCCTTTGAAGTCGGAGTGCATCTGCCGGAGAGGCAAGGAACCAACAGTCTGTATTCAAGAGAATGAGATCTGTAAAACTGATGCACACGCAACACTCAGGTTCTGGAGCAGGTCTGCAGTTCAGTAGTGGACGAGCAACCAGAACCTTCCGCCAGAGTTTACAGCTGGTGAACGTGAAGAAGAAGAAAAAGAAGAAGAGAGCTTATTATGAACTAAAAGGGTGGACAACAGTAAGTGACAGCCATTTCACCTATCCAGTTAATATACAGTCCAGACCTAATTAGGAGAACTCACCAAGGACCCAAAAAAATGGTTCTTCCTATCAGAAATTCCTCTTATTCGGATAACAGTTCAAGCAAGAAAAATTGCTGAGAATGAATAAATGGTTCTTCACAAAAGAAATTTGCTACATCCGACATCACCTTGAATGAGATACAATGTGTTTACTGTGCAGCATTATAGCAGTTAATAAAGCAGAAGTGTGTGTAACCAGCTAGCAAGTTCAACTATAAATACGAACATTCCTTAACCTCTGAGATATACATAAATGGAGCATATCACAAACGATGTAACAATAGTGCTGGAAGACAATTTCTGATAACACTCAATTTCAAATTCATACCAGCAGGGCAGTGGCATACTCCTAGAGTGAGTGGGTGCAGAGTTAGACCTCTGGTTTAAAATGTAATGTCTACCTATCTGGTGCAATCAGAAGACTTGTAAACTTATAATGATATCAAAATGTTTTTTTTAAAAATGAAAAAAAAAAAAAAAAAAAAAAACCAAACTATCCTTGAAATACATCAAATATTGATAAGACCAACTGTTCTATTTGGCTCTGAAAACTTAACAACAACTAAAATAGATAAAGTTTTATTTAAAACTTTTGAAAGCAGTCTCTTATGACAGATCTTTGGAGCCATCAAAGATGCAAACAGCAGAGAATGAAAAGTAAAAACAGCAAAGAAATTCATATTTAAATCATCACTAATAACTGACATCAGGATGGATAACAGACTTCAATGGCTGGGACATACAGAAAGAAAGGGCAGAGAAGAGAAAGATAAAAGCAGTGTTCACAAAAGAGTTAAATGGAAGCAGACCACATGGCAAACCCAAAAAAACTGTAGAGTGATAATATCCTTGCAGACCTACAAACACTTAGAGTGATAATATCCTTGAAGACCTACAAACACTTGGAGTGATAATATCCTTGAGGACCTACAAACACTTGGAGTGATAATATCTTTGAGGACCTACAAACACTTAGAGTGATAATATCCTTGAGGACCTACAAACACTTAGAGTGATAATATCCTTGAGGACCTACAAACAATTAGAGTGATAATATCCTTGAAGACCTACAAACAATTAGAGTGATAATATCCTTGAGGACCTACAAACACTTAGAGTGATAATATCCTTGAGGACCTACAAACAATTAGAGTGATAATATCCTTGAAGACGTACAAACACTTGGAGTGATAATATCCTTGAGGACCTTCAAACACTTGGAGTGATAATATCCTTGAGGACCTACAAACACTTGGAGTGATAATATCCTTGAGGACCTACAAACACTTAGAGTGATAATATCCTTGAGGACCTACAAACACTTGGAGTGATAATATCCTTGAGGACCTACAAACACTTAGAGTGATAATATCCTTGAGGACCTACAAACACTTGGAGTGAAAATATCCTTGCAGACCTACAAACACTTAGAGTGATAATATCCTTGAAGACGTACAAACACTTGAAGTGAAAATATCCTTGCAGACCTACAAACACTTAGAGTGATAATATCCTTGAAGACGTACAAACACTTGAAGTGAAAATATCCTTGCAGACCTACAAACACTTAGAGTGATAATATCCTTGAAGAAGTACAAACAATTAGAGTGATAATATCCTTGAAGACGTACAAACAATTAGAGTGATAATATCCTTGAAGACGTACAAACACTTGGAGTGAAAATATCCTTGCAGACCTACAAACACTTAGAGTGATAATATCCTTGCAAACCTACAAACACTTAGAGTGATAATATCCTTGAGGACCTACAAACACTTAGAGTGATAATATCCTTGAGGACCTACAAACAATTAGAGTGATAATATCCTTGAAGACGTACAAACACTTAGAGTGATAATATCCTTGAAGACGTACAAACACTTGGAGTGAAAATATCCTTGCAGACCTACAAACACTTAGAGTGATAATATCCTTGAAGACCTACAAACACTTGGAGTGATAATATCCTTGAGGACCTACAAACACTTGGAGTGATAATATCTTTGAGGACCTACAAACACTTAGAGTGATAATATCCTTGAGGACCTACAAACACTTAGAGTGATAATATCCTTGAGGACCTACAAACAATTAGAGTGATAATATCCTTGAAGACCTACAAACAATTAGAGTGATAATATCCTTGAGGACCTACAAACACTTAGAGTGATAATATCCTTGAGGACCTACAAACAATTAGAGTGATAATATCCTTGAAGACGTACAAACACTTGGAGTGATAATATCCTTGAGGACCTTCAAACACTTGGAGTGATAATATCCTTGAGGACCTACAAACACTTGGAGTGATAATATCCTTGAGGACCTACAAACACTTAGAGTGATAATATCCTTGAGGACCTACAAACACTTGGAGTGATAATATCCTTGAGGACCTACAAACACTTAGAGTGATAATATCCTTGAGGACCTACAAACACTTGGAGTGAAAATATCCTTGCAGACCTACAAACACTTAGAGTGATAATATCCTTGAAGACGTACAAACACTTGAAGTGAAAATATCCTTGCAGACCTACAAACACTTAGAGTGATAATATCCTTGAAGACGTACAAAACACTTGAAGTGAAAATATCCTTGCAGACCTACAAACACTTAGAGTGATAATATCCTTGAAGAAGTACAAACAATTAGAGTGATAATATCCTTGAAGACGTACAAACAATTAGAGTGATAATATCCTTGAAGACGTACAAACACTTGGAGTGAAAATATCCTTGCAGACCTACAAACACTTAGAGTGATAATATCCTTGCAAACCTACAAACACTTAGAGTGATAATATCCTTGAGGACCTACAAACACTTAGAGTGATAATATCCTTGAGGACCTACAAACAATTAGAGTGATAATATCCTTGAAGACGTACAAACACTTAGAGTGATAATATCCTTGAAGACGTACAAACACTTGGAGTGAAAATATCCTTGCAGACCTACAAACACTTAGAGTGATAATATCCTTGCAGACCTACAAACACTTAGAGTGATAATATCCTTGAGAACGTACAAACACTTAGAGTGTTAATATCCTTGAGGACCTACAAACAATTAGAGTGATAATATACTTGAAGACGTACAAACACTTAGAGTGATAATATCCTTGCAAACCTACAAACACTTAGAGTGATAATATCCTTGCAGACCTACAAACACTTGGAGTGAAAATATCCTTGCAGACCTACAAACACTTAGAGTGATAATATCCTTGCAGACCTACAAACACTTAGAGTGATAAAATCCTTGAGAACGTACAAACACTTGGAGTGATAATATCCTTGAGGACCTACAAACACTTAGAGTGATAATATCCTTGAGGACCTACAAACAATTAGAGTGATAATATCCTTGAAGACGTACAAACACTTAGAGTGATAATATCCTTGAAGACGTACAAACACTTAGAGTGATAATATCCTTGCAGACCTACAAACACTTAGAGTGATAATATCCTTGAAGACGTACAAACACTTGGAGTGATAATATCCTTGCAGACCTACAAACACTTAGAGTGATAATATCCTTGAGGACCTACAAACACTTAGAGTGATAATATCCTTGAGGACCTACAAACAATTAGAGTGATAATATCCTTGAAGACGTACAAACACTTAGAGTGATAATATCCTTGAAGACGTACAAACACTTGGAGTGAAAATATCCTTGCAGACCTACAAACACTTGGAGTGATAATATCCTTGCAGACCTACAAACACTTAGAGTGATAATATCCTTGCAGACCTACAAACACTTAGAGTGATAATATCCTTGAGGACCTACAAACACTTAGAGTGATAATATCCTTGAAGACGTACAAACACTTAGAGTGATAATATCCTTGCAGACCTACAAACACTTAGAGTGATAATATCTTTGCAGACCTACAAACACTTAGAGTGATAATATCCTTGCAGACCTACAAACACTTAGAGTGATAATATCCTTGCAGACCTACAAACATTTAGAGTAATAATATCCTTGAGGACCTACAAACAATTAGAGTGATAATATCCTTGAAGACGTACAAACACTTAGAGTGATAATATCCTTGCAGACCTACAAACACTTGAAGTGATAATATCCTTGAGGATCTACAAACACTTGGAGTGAAAATATCCTTGCAGACCTACAAACAATTAGAGTGATAATATCCTTGAAGACGTACAAACACTTGGAGTGAAAATATCCTTGAAGACCTAAACACACTTGGAGTCAACAACTGGAAAGAGAAAGCCAGTCACAGAGATGGATGTAAGCAAGTGATATCTGTAATAAACCACAAGGGTTTGGAGTAATCAAGAAGAAGTCTACTCTCAATGAAAATGTCTGTGACTCTCTTGTAATTCTGCAGGTTGTAAAGTCCTCAGAAGGTTTCATTACCACAGAAATTGTGCTTGCTCATCTACATCTTGCTCAGCCAAGATCAAGAAAACACCTGGCTAGAACGTACATTTTGCTTAGCTAAGCTCAAAAACTCATCTGTTTAGACTGTACATCTTGCTCAGCCAAGCTCAAGACCTCACCTGGTTAGACTGTACATCTTGCTCAGCTAAGCTCAAGACCTCACCTGGTTAGACTGTACATCTTGCTCAGCTAAGCTCAAGACCTCACCTGGTTAGACTGTACATCTTGCTCAGCCAAGGTCAAGAACTCACCTGGCTAGAACATACATCTTGCTCAGCTAAGCTCAAAAACTCATCTGGTTAGACTGTACATCTTGCTCAGCCTAGCTCAAGAACTCACCTGGCTAGAACGTACATCTTGCTCAGCTAAGCTCAATAACTCACCTGGTTAGACTGACTACTGTCTGCCAGCTCCATTTCTTCAACAATTGCCAGTAACATACTAGAGATCTTCTCAGCAGCTGGATCCACTAGCCTGCTAGGAAACTTCCCACTCTTACAACGGATTAGATTGGTTTTGATCACTTTTACTAGTCGGCAACAAGCTACCCTGAAATCAGCACAGACAAGCACAATATGAATGACACCAGAGCATCACAGGCCTAGTTGGCAACATACAACCCTGAAATGATCACGAACGAGCACAACATGAATGACAACAGATCATCACAGACAACTACAAGAAAGAGACAGTGTCTTTAATAACATAATCAAAAGAGGGCCCTCTGGGAGCGAGTGAACAGTGAGGAAGCCCAAATAGATCACTATGGTCTGAGGAAAATGGCGCTGCGAGGAGTTGCCGCCAGCAGATCTGACCGATACTCAACACTCAAGGTAAAGGCAAGAAGGATATACAGTCAGACAGTTACTAGTGACATCGGAATTGGAACTCTTTGTTTGCTGCTGAAGATGAGGACAGAGCGCTTATTGGAGTGTCCCGAGTGCTATGATGTTGATTCTTTATTCAACATTCAATCAGAAGAGATTTCCAATTCTAATGGTGACAGTCTGATAATGTTTATTATGCTTTTAATTTGAGTACTGAATGTCTACTAGAGCAGAATGACATGAAATATTATTAGTTTAGTGAAAGAGGCAAGTACAGAAATGATGCTGGATGGTCTAAGATAAGCAACATAAAGGAATATCATTAAAGGATTTATCCAGAAATCACCTTTTTACATATTATTTTTATTTTATATATATATATATATATAAACATATATAAAAGCAACGTCCAAATAACTTAATCCAGTTTTTTTGTTTCTGTTAGCACATCTCCATCTTTTCAGATGATAATGTTATTTTGTGCATGATATGGAATTCACAGCCCATGGGGATAACGAGTGACACCCCAATTTGCCCCCTTCACACAACACAATAAATGACCTTTTGTTCCCAGAATTTAACTCAATATCTCTATCATTCATGTCCCACTTGAACATATCTTTATATCGTAGTAGAGGCCGGCTTCAGTATCTTCTACCCATCTGTAATTCACCATAAAGGGACTCTAGATTTAGTCAAGTCTCCTGAAATATCCCAACTTTTATATCCCACAATGACATGGAAACAGAGAACTTGATATTTACTTCTGCTTACAGACAGAAGAACAAGAATCCTTTAAAAGATGTTGCGTACTGAATAAGTTCAGCTTAATTATATGGACAGTGAATAAAGAACATAAAATACCTGATCTCAGGTACTTCCTCAATGACTGTCTGCAGCTTCTGAGTCATATCTAGAAGCGAACCCAAGCCTTTCATATATTCCATCAAGGGGTTATCTCTGGTCGGTGCATACCCTTGACCACCCAGCTGTATCCGTAGCATGAAGGACGACAGGGTCTGCACAGAAACATCAGATGATTATTTCTAACTTAACACAAGCACACGTTTCGATTAAATAATTTCAAAGATTATCTTGGCTGTTCATTTAACTTTCTCTTCTCCTTCACGCTCACCAGCTGTAAACTCCGGTGGAAAGTTCTGCTTGTTCATCCACCTCTGGACTTTAGCCTTGTTCCAGAACCTGAGTGTTGCATGCACACCCGTTTTACAGATCTGACTTACTTGTATGCAGACTATAGGTTTCTTGCCTCTCATGAAGAGGCATTACAACTTCGACATATTCATCAAACTATTTACCTAATTATTATTTCAGTATTTTTGTCTTCTTATTGTCCATGCTGTATAGTAATAGCAATCATAGATGTCAACAGCCTTTTGCGTATCATGTCTTGTGCAGCGGAATCTGTGCCGTGGGGTTAAACTGTTCAACACCTACCTGTGCAGTTTACCACAGCAATAGATAATTACTTATCTGTTTGATGGGTGCAAGGTACAGGCGTTTTTTGTATCTAGACAAATAAGTTCTGGTACTCTCTACAAAGTATCTTAAAAGGTGCTGGTACTAAGCACAAACTGCCTATTAAAGTAGCGTTGAAAAAATAATGCTTAAAAATAGGTGCCAGTACTGCGTACCATCAGAAGACAAGTCTTAAATTATTTATTTCTTGCCTCATCAAGTACTAGAATTTGACACTATTTCCCAGTATGCATGCTGGAATCCAAACCACTCTGCCACCTAGATCTCACCCAAATAAAGTCTACAGGAACACATACAGTTAAACATACCTGATACATTGACAGTCCACAGACTGAAGCTTCATGTTTTAAGTGTGTGAATGCCTCATGGTTCAAGTCTCGTTCAGGTATGTTGAAAATCCGCGCTAAAGCCAGCTGGCTTCGGGAGTTCACTAGCAGATGCATGTAAGACCGGAACAGATCTTCTACAAAAATCTGTGTGTAGGTAAATATGGTGAAATAAACATTAATTGGCTCCATCATAGGCTATGAAAAAATGTGAAAATTCTTAGACAACTAGAAGAATACTCAAACTCTTAGGTCAGTCAGTTCCAATGACACTGATCATGTCACTCCACTGTCTTCAATTCTCAGCTCAGCATACGTTTGTGCCCCAAAATTCTTGCATGGATGTGTTATTTCATAGGACCTCATCTTTTTCCCTGACTCTCTAGTATTGTCAGAAGCAGACTATTCTGACCAAACCAAACAGCCTTCTTTCAAGACAACAGCTTGGCTACAGGTCATAACTGATCTATGGCCTTTTTTTTTCTTAACAGAAAGGTGCCAGTACATATCACAAAGTGTCTATTTCAGCAGTGTCAAAAAAAGGCCGGTACTACTCACCATCAGAAAAAAAAAAGCCTTGTCAGATGGTGAATTATGACACCCCCCTCCCCCACTTTTCACGCTTTTCTGCATAACTCATGATGATGTTGTTATCTTCTAGTTAACTGAGGAACAAGAAATTGTAAAAGCAAAAACAGAAAATGAAATAGTGGACACTTTTGAATGGTTTTGTGGATACATTTTAGCATGTAAGTACACACAGAGAATAAAAGTTGTGGAAAAGCATGATCACAATAAAGCAGAATGGTTTTTCTGACTGATGCTATGTCAGTTGTACAAGCAACTGTTAACCCAAAAGACACTCAGTTTGTAGACTTGACGCAACAGCTGATTCACTTAGGCTCCGGTAAAACAACTTGTACTGCAGTGGATTCCAGGTCACTGTGGCTTTGAATGCAATGAAACAGTGGACAGATTGATCAGAAGCAGCAGTGACACAGTGCAGTCAGTGACTTAACTCCCCATGAGACTAAGACATTAATACAATCTAGCATCCAAGAAATGTAGCTGGATACACACACCAGATTCTCTCCCCAAGACTGCCATTCCAGAGAGGGACACTGTGTTATATTCAGACTAAGGACAGGGCACAACAGACTTCGCCACATATGTTCAAACTTGTCCGTATAGGAAACACGCAGACATGTTCTGCAGCTTGGCACCAGAAAGTGCTGAGCATGTGCTCCAACACTGTCAACTGTATGCTGCCAACAGAGACGCAATCTGGTCGTCCTAACCACAAGGAAGACAAAGCTCTATGGTACATGAGGAGATATGGACTGCATGATAGCTTTCATAAAGGCTACCGGCCTCCTGATATAAGATTTCTGACAGAAGGATAGAAGAAGAAGAAGAAAAAGACACCAGTTGGCACAGCCCACAACAATAACAAATGGTGGCATTCATTAGTTGATGACTACTAATTAAACTCTGCAACTGGGGTCAGATAAAATCAAATTATTGTTAAATGTTCAAGTACTCAACCTCCTTTAGTGTCCTTCCACTCAGTGGAGAGAATGGGGTTTGTGGAGTTCTGGTAATGGCATTTTCTCTTGGCGACTTCTCATTATTTAGCTCTGTGGCCAGTGGCATCTTACCCGATGGCGTCTTTGGAGAGAAGACCAGTAACTGATGGGATGTTTCACATGAAGGCATCTGAACATTATCATCATGAGACAAATGTGCTGAGATGTCAGTCTGTGATTTGGCTGCTATGCAACTGATAGGTCTGAAACGCTGTACAAAGCTGATTATTTTCATCTGTGAATGAAAGTAAAGAACAAATATAAGTAATGGATTTAGAAAATTACTTAAAAATCTCTATAAGTCCATAGTTTTTTACAAAATCACCTTTAGCCTGAGTTTTCCTCTTTAGGTAAACTCTGCAAAGCAGGACAGCCATTTAGTTCCTGGATACATTTGACTGATTAAAACTGAGATTATCCAGATGCTATTTATTCAATAATTAAAGTCATTAAAGATCACTTTCATTACACATTTTTAACACATCTGGTTTGGTCTCTATCCAATGAGCAGCTGGACACAGAACACAAAATTGTAGATCCACTGATGATAACAGACATCTCCACAGAAAATTACCTCTGTCAACTGAACAACAGTTGGAAAATGATGTCACAAACTTCAGAGTATGAAGTAAACAGACTGCCCCAGACTGAGTGGCCTGTGTTTAGAAAGAGGCTGGGACTTCAAGACAACTTATCACAAACTTCAACAGATGAGAGTCACCATTTATTAATCATATCATAGGTGAAAGATTGGAACGTGTAGCTACTGGAAATATATGTGGAGAGAGAGGGGGAAGAGAGATAGACACAGAGAGACAAAAAAAGAAAGAGAGAGACAGACAGAGAGAGAGAGAGACTGAAGGTGTGGAAAAGAGTCCGTGACTTGTATCTGATCTCACCTGTATTGTATGGCAGCCTTCCAAATCAGTTTCAAGTCTGTCCACATCTTCACTGGCAGCAAGAAGCTCACACAGATCAGCTCTCTTGCCTAACAAAGCTGTAATGAATGAGCTGTACACATCTAGGATAGTCCAGTGGTTGTTGGTGTTTTTATACTCATGGAATGTAGCAGAAACAGCAGCATCTACCACAGCTAAGCAGTCTGGTTCCATATGAACTTCAATGTTACCTTCACTAATCTGACACCTTCCTGGAGACACCTGATCATTCTGAAGATCTTGATGTGTTTCTTCACCTAATGCCCGATCAGTTTTTACAGCACTGCGACCGTCAGACAATAACAGACTTGTTCTCTGTTCATCTAACAGGATGTTCTCATCACCTTGAGATTTCAAAAGCAGCTGCTCTATATTTTGCCAAGAAGACTTTCTCAGTTTGTCTACTAATGCTGCAGCAGTTTCTGTATCAGCTTCTAATCTGTTGATGGTCTGAAATCAAAACGTTATCTAAAATCAGTATACATCTTTAACAAATGAATGATAAATTCAAAATAGTTATCTAAAATCAGAATACCTCTTTAACAAATTAATGATAAAATCACAACAGTTATCTCAAATCAGTATATCTCTTTAACAAATGAATGATAAAATCTAAACAGTTATCTCAAATCAGTATATCTCTTTAACAAATTAATGATAAAATCACAATAGTTATCTAAAATCAGAACACCTCTTTAACAAATTAATGATAAAATCACAACAGTTATCTCAAATCAGTATATCTCTTTAACAAATGAATGATGAAATCAAAACATCATTCTCCTCTTCTTAGTGTTCCCCGGCTGTAAACTCTGGCAGAAAGTTTCTGGTTGTTTGTCCACTCCTGGACCTCTGATCTTGTGTGCACACATCTGGCTTATTTGTTTGCAGACTGTTGTTTCCCCCACCCTGTAGGCAGATTCACTCCAACTGTGAAGGAAAGATCCCTCATTTGTCACCTTTCACGAGACACTGGTTAGTGGGTCTCTTCTTTTTGCCCCCCAAACCAACATAGAGAAAAACATCATCTAAAATCAGTATACCTCTCTGAGAAATTAATGATAATAAATGTGATGTTTTGATCAAAGAGAATCACTGGTATGAGGCTGCAGCGTGTTAACAATGAAATAACCAACACCACTGAAGGAAACCTCTGCCTAACGCCAACCAGTCAGTCCATATTTACCATGCTGATTCATAACTTCATTGCACTTACTCTGCATGTCAAGTAACCAATCTTTCACACCATGCTAGTTTCTGAGCAGGAAGTAGCAAAGAAGAGCTCAACAAGTTTCTCCATGTAGATAGGGCTTGTGTGCAAGGCCAGGAGAATAATCCTAACATCTACCACATTCTGACAGATGCAAATCATTTTCCTCACATAATCTGAACATCAATGGACTTGGACTGAGATCTTTGTGTTAACAAGCTGTAAACTTTGGCAGACAACCCTAGCTGTTTGCCCACTACTGTACTTTGAGTCTTGTTACAGGATTCGGGTTCTGTATGCACACTGTCACCATACCTCACCTCTCAAGTAGATGCACCACAACTTCGAAAGAAATTTCAGTGTGATCTAGGCTGGTCAGGTCTTCAGGTGGGAACATATTCCCATGATGACCACTGAGAGATGTCAATCAGTCCTGGTCAGTGTAAGTCCAGGTACTGGTGCCCCGACTCATGTGCTTCAGCACCTCCCCACCCCAGACTGCAATAAAGCTGCTAGTTCTGGCTATTTTCTTCTTCATATTCACAGGCTGTAAACTCTGGCAGAAAACCCTGGTTTATCTGTATGCAGAGCACTGGTTCCTTGCCTCAGACAGATGCACTCCCACTTTGAAGGAAACACGATCCTATCTACACTGGCTCGGTAGGAAACTTGTTTCTAGGATGACCATGAAGAAGTGTAGATCAGCCTTGACAAGTACAAGCACTGGTCACGATAAACCACATGTGTGGTTTAGCACCTCTACCTACCATTTTGGCCATCATCTGTGTATATGCAGTGTTTAACTATATCCCCAACAGGTAAAAATACTTTTTTCTTATCTGAGATTAGAACTTATATACCTTTAGATTTGAGATGCTGTTTCTCAACAACACAGCCACTCATTCTTATTTATTCAATATATATTTTTCTTTCAACTTTAAAACTGTTATCAACACTCATCAGGCCAACTGATAATCTATCACTCCATAACCCCTTTTCTCCAAACAGTGTAAAAAAAATGGGAAAAACATATCTTTTCCACATACACATTCAAATTATCTTTTTAGTTTCGCTGTGACCAAATGTGTAAGCTCTTTTCTAATCTATATTGGCCACTATGATTATAAGGCCAAATGCTGAAACAGGCAAGGGTATAATGTTCAACATACCTTTTTATTTTGGCAAGCCAAGCAAAACTGCATGACTTGTAGCTCATCACCATGAGATAAGACTGTTGTGTTTTCATCTGGAAATAACCCAATCCTTCTGCACTGCTTAATGACAAAAGGTGATAGGGGAACTGAATTTTTCTTGGTATTAACACCCATCACATTAGACTGACTGCAAAGCTCCACAGTGCCAAAGTTCCTGAGGCAGAAAAAAAAAAAAAATTAAAATAGTTAATTATACATAATTAAATATATAAGCACACAGCACTATAGAGAGCCGTCACTTATACACAATGAAAGCAACCCTAGAGGTGGACCATGCAAGTAATGGATAGAAATGTAATGGGGGATATTTTCACCCACATTAGAAAGGTTGGGGGGTAGGCCAAAGGTTAAGCCAAAACACTGAGAAATTCTAGATACTCGGATTAAACGAGGTGTTCAAGATAGGTGATGACCACGAGTTATCACGGGTAGCGCGTTGACGCGACCACAGGTCGCATCGTGGAAGTAAATGACCACCACGTCTTGAAATGTGAAACTAACCTGTGGTATAAGTTCAGACTTCATTCTGATCAGGTTAGTTTGTGTCGACTTGTTAGAGCGAAAGGACGGGAGACTGAGCGTACGAATGTCAATGTGAGATTGCTTGTTGTGAAAGGAGAACCGGACGACGACGAGTGAAGCCAGGAGTCTGTGTAATGTCCAGAAGATCAACCAGCTACATCGGTGCAGACTTTGGTCAGTAACTGCGTGAGGAACCTGCTTGTTGAAGTCTGCGTGATGTGGTGTGCGAAAGCTGTTTCTTAGGACAAGGACTGGACGCTGTTGTAAGTTGCAATATGTCAATAAACTGATGTTTCGTACGGCTAAGTCGGTGCCGCCTTGTACCAGTTATGTTAACGTAGAGTGTGTGATGAGAACATTCACGAGACACATATAAACACCCACTAGACAACGAGTGAGCTCATTGCAAGAGGGAATATCTGAGGACATAAATATGATGAATCTTAAAAGACGTAAAAGATTACCTTTTGATGCTGTTCCAACCAACAACAAAAATACTTTCTGATCACAATTCAGGTACAATTTATTTCCCCATCTGAATAATATTTTCTTCACTCTCTCAGTACCAACAGACTCACTATAAGTTAATTCATTACCCAATAAACTGTTCATATTTCTTTACTTCCTGTCTGCCATTCTTCTGTAATAGCACCACTCTATTCCAATTAGTTTTACTCAGTCTGACTCCAAATGTACTGTTTTAGACATTAATTAAGACCCAAAGATTGTTACAGTAAACTTAATATTTGGGGATCTCTGTGGTGAAGAAGCTAAGCCATTTGCCTCATGCTCTGAAGGACATAGGTTAGCTTCGAGGCTGCAGCATTCATCATGACTGCTATTTCTGCTGAGAATCTGAGGGAGATTGACACAAAGAGCTGATGTGTTCGTACTTTGTGCTCTCGGCAGGTGGCTAGCTGTTCTAAAGAAAGAGTCTCAGATATATGGGATAACATCCCGCGCAATGAAGCCGATCCTCTTGACTTTAAATGTAATATGAGATAGAAAAGATTCAATATACAACCATCTGGAACTGAAAGACTGAGCAGCATATAAGAAGCCTACAAAGGGTTTTGCCTGAGTTGTTTGAGGGCTGATGCTCTTCTCTGTGGCTTAGAGGTTAGTGACATTGTTTCACAATGCAACTTTCAACACTTCCTATATTTTGCCAACATTGGACAGTCTAAAAAAGGCAGGGTTCTTTATTTTCTATTTATCAAAAAGGAAAGAATATCCGGTTCCTGAAAAAGTCCAATATTCGGCTATCTTCCGAATAACGGTCCCAAATTATTGAGGCCGAAAATATACCCTAACAGGGCCTCAGTCACGATAGCCCTTAGGGCTATTCTCCTAATAATGGTCCTAAATTATTGAGGCTAAGGAAATACCTTAACAGGGCCTCAGTATTATGTAAATTGCGGCCCTCTTTCCGGCAACTATACCGCCACCGCCGAGAGTATCCCCCATGCCCCTATGTACAGAGGGGAATGAACTAGATGGCCGGGACTCATAGGCAAATAAAATGAAGGAAGCTGCAGGAGATGCGGTAGCTGATGCTCGTGAGTCCCAACCAACTAGTTTAGCTCCCCCACCATGCCGTGCGTAGCAGCACGGGGGAAACTTTTCGACGGTGAGTTTAACTCGGCAGAAGCTTTTCCATGGTATGCGGTGTAGTCGCCGGAGAGAGGTCCGCAATGTACATATCACTGAGGCCCTGTCAGGGTATTTTCTTAGCCTCGATAATTTAGGACCGTTATTGTTTGAAACAAACATTCATAATATAGCGACTACGGTGTCTGGAAATTTGCGATCTTTTGGCAATTTCCGTTACCACGGAAACCGTTCGAAACTTGCTTCGGAAATGTCGGCTGGGGTTTCGGGATGGGTCCTAATCTCTCATTAAATTTTGCGATTGGTGTGATTTTCACCCACTCTAAATAGCTGAAAACAGCGGGAAGGAACCAGATTAACAGCGCATGTCTACGACAGCCGGACGTCCTCTGTTTTTCTGTTACATCAGTTTGATTGAAAATAGCGCTAAGTATTCAAGGTTGGCTTTAGGCTTTAACTGTTACTGGCCCTGGTAATGCTAGTTATAATTGAATTCTCCATCCATTTTTACATTTGTGTATAAAATTTCTTTCTGAACCGTGGCTAGGTAGATGTACAGTGACATTTTTCAGGCAATCGCTGGCTCAGCCAGTGGCTGTGTCTCATTGGCTGCCATCTTGTCCAATGACAGTCCAATGTAAACAAAGCCAAAACTAAAGTTGCGCAGTTTGGTTGCGCAGAGAAAACCTCTTGTTTCTGGGAGGCAAGTTTTAGCAGCTGCTTTCTACATCTCATCTCCACAAAAATGACATACAAGGCTAAATGAGGTACCATTGGAAAGAGATTGTTTACAGCTATCTAACTGTGCTGGTTTTATTGGTGTAGAGGGCATTTTGAAAATTTGACTAAAGTACATAATTAGGTGCCCCGTATTATATTTGTTATAAAATAATTGGCTCTACTTTCAAATTTGGCTGGTAAGCTGGACTGCTTCGGCCGGCTTAGCGGGGCTTAGTGGGAGTTATGTCCCGTGGCCGCACTCAAAACAAGTCGCGGAAAAAGTCACGAATCAAATGGCATACTTACCTATCATCATCCGGTTGCGTAGGGTGTCTATCATCGTCCTACGGGTGCGTGTAGGGCTGCTTATTGCGTGTAGGTTGGTCTAGGGTTTAGGGTTAGGGTTATGGTTTATGGGTATGGTTCAATTTGAAAATTTTCACGAAGGAGGTCGAAATAGTGGCCGACAATCTGACGTTTGTGGGAGTGGCGCCACTGAAACTGTCAAATATGACGCCAATAGCGGGCGGCTGGTGCCCAGTCACTGGCGAATTGTCCGTGTCAGTAGCATTCACCGTCCGTCGACTGTTTGCGCGTGCGTACGACTGTGCGCGATTTTAGGTAACTACGGCGTCATATTTGGCAGAGTTTCAGTGGCGCCACTCCCACAAACGTCAGATTGTCTGCCACTATTTCGACCTCCTACGTGAAAATTTTCAAATCGAACCATACCCCTAACCCTACCCCTCATCTTACGCAAACAACCAACCTACACACAATAAGCAGCCCTACACGCAACAGTAGGACAATGATAGACACCCTACGCAACCCTACACGCATCCGGATGATGATAGGTAAGTATGTCATTTGATTCGTGACTTTTTCCGCGACTTGTTTTGAGTTGTTTTGAGTTTGGCGAAGGAACATAACTCCCACTAAGCCCCACTAAGCAGTCCAGCTTACCGGCCAAATTTGAAAGTAGAGCCAAATAATTAATTAACATGAGCTTTCGTTCACAATTAATGTAGCGACTACAGTTTCTTTTCGACAATTTCCGTTACCATAGAAACCGTTTGAAACTTGTTTCGGAAATGTTGGCTGGGGTTTCGGGATGGGTCCTAATCTCTCATGAAATTTTGCGATTGGTGTGATTTTCACCCACACTAAATAGCTGAAAACGGCGGGAAGGAACTCGATTAACAGCCCATGTCTACGACAGCCGGACGTCCTCTGTTTTTCTGTTAGTCTATCAGTTTGATTGAAAATAGCGGTAAATTTGAGGTTGGCTTTAGGCTTTAACATTACCAGATGTGGTAATGCTAGTTATAATTGAATTCTCCATCCAATTTTACATTTGTATATAAAATTTCTTTCCTGTTTTTGGCTGTTTAGATTTACAGTGACATTTTTTAGGCAATCGCATGCGGCTGAGTCTCATTGCCTACCATCTTGTCCAATGACAGTCCAATGTCAACAAAGCCGATACATAACTGCGCAGTAGGTTGCGCAGAGAAAAACTTCTTGTTGCTGGGTCACAAGTTTTAGCGGCTGTTTCTTACATCTCATCTCCACAAAAACCTACATATCTCAGCTCAGAAATGACATACAAGCCTAAATGAGGTACCATTGGAAAGATATTGTTTACAGCTATCTAAATGTGCTGGTTTTATTGGTGTAGAGGGCATTTAAAAAATTTCACTGAAGTAGCTAATTAATGTACAAAAATAATTTAGTCAATTTATTTATCCGCAGGTAACAGCTACTTCAATCAATGAAATGAAATTTTGGCATTAAAATTTTTATTTTCAGCATCTCAATTTGAATTTGAACTAATTGATAAAACTGAAAGATCGATAAAAAATATTTTAATACAGAATTAATAAAGCATAGTTTGACTCTGCTCTGTTATCTGCATTGGTTAATGTGCCTTTGTTGTTCAGCATACAACTGTAAACAATACATTACATCATGTTATACTCACTGGCCGTATTTTATAAAGTAAAAGAAGCAGTCAACATCTTGATCTACGTTCGCTCACTGTTCACTGTCCCACTGACGCAGAGAATAGAGAATCTTCAAATGTCGTCTGCAGGTTGCTTTCAAATTCTGTTTAAGGTATCCGACTCAAATCTATAATCGCTAACAGAAAATTTTACTTTGACTTTTACCCTTACTATTTTTCAATATTCATTTTATTTATTTATAAATAAATAAATAACTGTTAACATCGTATAATTTTTGTTTCTGAATTTGTATTATCACTCTTGACTTTACTTAAAATAAGTTGGCAGGGATTGATTTATGTGAATTGTTCCGCAATTTGTTTGTTCTGAAAAGAGGCGTGGCAGTTTTACGGTGTAAACACAAAACTTTGGCTTCTTGTATGGGACAAAGGCTACTACTACAATGTCTAGTTGCAAAGGGAAAGTTATAACAGGTCTCTGGCATTATTGTATTTGAATCATCATTCTTATCTGCAGTCATACGTCACTTAGGGCGTGCAGTACTTTCCATTCCGTTCTATCGTGTTCATTTCTTCAATAATATCAATATGGAATCAACCAGTACAGCACCTTTGGCCTCTTTCGTCAACTTTCGCTTTAGGTTTCTCTAACTCTAAGACGCCCTTTCCTCAATTTTCAAATCGTTTGTTTACAATTGCGTTGCTTGTTTAGTGATTCTCTGTTTCTCCTCATATTTTGTAACCATGGTGTCATCTTCTTTATCTTATAACTTGATACCAGTGGTTGACGACTCATTTGAAAACCACTTTTTTATAAATATAACTACTTACATTAGTAAATCTTTTATTAGTTGTTAGTCGGTTCTGTGGCTAAGTCAGTGCAAACGCTTCGTAATGCCGGAATGCCAGGTTCGATCCCAGCTGCTGGCCATGTGTCTTGCAATGGTTTTGACAGTGGTATCAAGAAAGCCGACCGTCCAGAAGCAATGGCAAACTACTGGACGTAAATTTGCCTAGAAAAACCACACAACAGCCAGGGGCTGTTAGGGTTGGTTCTGCAATGTCCTGTAAAGGATATGCAACTAACCTTTATTAGTTGTTAAGTTATTTGCCTCATGCTCTGAAGGTTTGCTTCGAGGCTGCAGCATTCATCATGACTGCTATTTCTGCTGAGACTCGAGGGATTGGTGCAAGAGCTGATGTGTCCGTACTTTGTGCTCTTGGCAGGTGGCCAGCTGTTCTGAAGAAAGAGTCTCAGATATGTGGAATAAGATCCTTTGTAGAACGTCAATCTCATCACGGTTTGCCTGGTAAAAAACTCAGTCTTTCACCAGCTTTCACCTCATGCACTTTCATAATCAAGGAGTCACTTATATCCTGTACCAATCTTTGTGTTGGTCAGTCCCTGCCAATATTTTCTGGTACCAAGCCCTCTTCTATTATTTTCTCCAATCTACCATGGTGCCTAGTATGGAAACTAGTATACGATACTGTTTATGAGTGAATCTTCATTGATTTTGAGATCTTTAAGAATGTCAGCATTTCTTCTATAAAGATAAATAATTCATTATTTCTACAGATTTTGTCAATAACTGTGATGTAAGATTTAGTGCACCACCAAACAGCCCACTTTATTTGTACTAAATATCCACAATTTCTTGTATGTGTTTTCAGTGCAAGGCATTGTAGACCCATCTAGCTTGGGTGTGGTACTCACTCACGAGCATCTTTATGCGCAAGTGCCCTTTTTCTACTCCCCACCAAAGAGCAGTCTTTCACAGAAATTATTAAATGCTCCATTTGAGATGAAGAACTTGTACTGGATACGTCAAAATCCGTAAGATGTGGTTCTATAAATTATGTGTACAGTATTCTTCAGAATATTTATTAGTTTATTGTTGATCAGCGTCAGCATCATTTAACCCCCCCCCCCCCCCCCATGTTCATCTGTATGGCATGGTACCAGGTAGGAGGGGCAGGGGCCGACAAACACGAAGATAGGCACAGAATATATGTGATTCTTCTAATATGAAAAAACATTCGGTGGGAGAGCTAGCGAGAGACTGAGTTTCTTTCAGGCAGACTGTGATGAAAGCGACATTCTGCAAAGGATCTCTGCTATATGCTGATGATGTTTATCTGTTTATAGCAGGCTTTTGCAGAGTATCAAATACTTTGCAACTGATTGGAATGTCTGCTTGTTTACCCTGCCTCATCCACTATTATACCCAGTTTTAAACTTTTGAGTCCCAAGGAACACATCATACGTTCATAGGTTCCTAGAAGCCCAATAAACGCATGATGCGCTGATTTTATTATTTCTTTACTACCCTCTGAGCCTGTGATGCTAAACCCCCTGGGACTCAAAGAGTTAAAGTTCCATGTACACTTTCTCTTGGTCTTCTTCTTTTCATTCACTTAGCTGTTCTGTTGGTCATCCTCCACTTCTTCCAAGAACCATGCCTGCTTTCTTGTTATCCAATTTTACATTATAGCACATCCGTCTGACCTACTCTTGCTCTTTCCTATGGTGCAGCAGTGAACTCAGCATCTCTGCTCAATACCCTCAGCAAAAGTTGACTGGCATATCTACTTTGCCCCACAACCAGATTCTGCAAGCTTTTCCTCATTCAATAACCATGCCTTATCATGTTTATCATCTTTTGATAAAGATATCCTTGTATATTTTCAGTTTAATAAAATGTGTTGCTTAAAATATTTGACAGAACCCATCCACAGCTTGTACAGGTGAAATCCTCATAGAAGAATCAGCTCTGAAACAATTTGGAATGCCTTGAAATGAGGGAAGAAATCCTTTACTTTATTTACTTTACATCCTTTCACAACATCTTTTCTTTTTAAATATTTATAAAGCTTGGTTCTAACTTTCAGTTGATACTTCTGCTAAATGTGAATTATAACATATAGGTTAACTGTAACATTGTTTCACTGTAAATTCTACAAGGTAACACTGTTTCACTGTAAATTCCACAAAGTAACACTGTTCCACTGTAAATTCCACAAAGTAACACTGTTTCACAATAAATTCCACAAGGTAACACTGTTTCACTGTAAATTCCACAAGGTAACACTGTTTCACTGTAAATTCCACAAGGTAACACTGTTTCACTGTAAATTCCACAAGGTAACACTGTTTCACTGAAAATTCCACAAAGTAACACTGTTTCACTGTAAATTCCATAAGGTACACCCATGTTCCTAATCTAACTCTCTATGGGGAGCTGGATGCTGTGACTGAAGAACTGAAATTCTTTAAGGTGAGAAGTCTTCTAAACTAAGTTTTTTCGTTAGAAATTGATGCTTTTATGTGGTTGTTAGTGAGATTCACAGATGGGTTGCCCCATAACCTCTCTGTTCCTGTACAATTAGAAATCACACAAAATATACTGCACTGTCCTGTTTGAAAACTTGTGAAACCTGTCCCAGTAAAATCTTGAAGCTTGCACATGCAAGTCTGATGCTTCCGTAACCTGCTGTTTTATGAAGGGGAACTGCAGTGGTATAAGGATTTGCTTCTTTGTTCAGTGGTCATAAGTTTCAATTTTTGTCTGTAGAAATTGTTTTCTCCTTTGTCTGGGCTCCATGTCACCCCAGTAAGTGGGTAGTGCCATGGGAAGTGGTGGTGGCTGGTGCGGAACTTACATCATCAGTGAAAGACTGCTGATTTAGCTAAATCTTCTGAGACTGTAAAGGTGACATCATTGGCATGCCCTTTAGAATCCATAATTCTAAGCACAGCCTGCTTATAATAGACTTCGGATATCTTTCAAGTGTTTCCACTGGTTCCTTGCCTCTTAAACAGATGCACTCCATTAGTCATCTTTTATGGCGTACTTGTTGGAGGGAGGGGAATATGGTGGGGGAGGGGAGGGGGGGAACAATGAATCTGTTTCTACCCCTGAAAAAAAAAAGATTATAAAGTTCATGTACTTTATTTTGCAGGAAAATGGTGGAGGAACCATTGTGGAAAACTCAACAGTAGGGCTTCACTCAGACACCCTCTACTTGAAGCATCTGTCAGATTCTACTGGGGTGAACATTGTCTGTGGTACAGGTGAGAGAAAGGCATTTTCTGAAACTCATATTTTGTGTGTGTGGCATACACAAATAATTATAAATATTCAACTTTTGTAGATTGTGACATAATTATTGAGTGTTCATTCCTGAATAAAATCCTGTATTAAACTAGGGGTCGACTTACATGGGAGGTACATAATGTGTTAGGTAGGTATAGGCTTTATTCAGAACTGAGAGCTAACAATCTCAAGGTGAACTTGTACAGGCACTAGTTTGAAGGAGCAGTTTCTGATATACATAGAATCAAATGGAGATAAACTAAAGATTTATTTCCTGAGTTTCAAAGTTTAGACTTTCTAATTTATTATGGGTGAGGGTAGAATCTCCAGTACTAGTTAATGTTTAATTAACAGATTGTTAACAATGTTTTCTACAGAAAGTTACGGAGGTTACATGAGTTTAGTTGATTCAATAACCAACCTCACAGCACTCGGGACATTCCTTTAAAGCTCTGTCCCCATCTTCAGCTGCCAACGCATAGTTCCAATACGAGTGTTGCCAGTAGCAGTCTTGCCTTTCCTCTGAGCATTAAGTATCGACCAGATCCCCTCGTCACTCCCCATTGAATCACTCTCACCAGACTGTGGTGATCCATTTGCTCCTGCAAATTGTACACATTCTTCCACAAGGTCCCAACCACTCCAGAGGCTATGTATGACTAATAAAGTAAATCAGTATATCTTTGATAGGACACATATATAAACATATTTTTCATAATAACTGCATTTTGAATGAATATGCAAACATATTCTTTATATTAACTGCATTTTGAATCAATATGCAAACATATTCTTTATAATTACTACATTTTGAATCAATATGCAAACATATTCTTTATAATTACTACATTTTGAATCAATATGCAAACATATTCTTTATAATAACTACATTTTGAATCAATATGCAAGCACATGTGGTTCTGGACCGGACAGATTGTCACAAATAAAGCTGGCCCCCTCGCTGCAAATATCACAGTAATATAATACATGTGGAGTATTTTTGCTAAACATACCTATGGTTGTATCCATCTTAACTTTTACTTTGTAATTAACGGAAACCTTGTTTCCAACTGGCTAGGATTCTATGTTGAAACAGCCCAAGAAGACCTGGTACGCAGTTACAATGAAGAAAAAATGGCAGACAAGATGAGACATGACATACTTGAAGGAGTCGACGGTGTTAGATGTGGCATCATTGGTGAAATCGGTACATCATGGCCAGTGACAGGTGAACAATCTGTGTTTATTTTATTGAATGTATTCAGTGTTTTTGTTTCATTTAACTTTTCCAGAAGCCAGTCACATTTTTGTCTTTCCTGTCCAGACAGTGATATGGATTCTGACCTCAGCAAAAATATAATGATTTTTTTTTTCATATCAGCACGGCTCTGAAGGTCAATCTAAAAAAGGATCCCTTTTGTTCACGCCGTCTGGTAAATTGGGCATATAGTGCTAGACCTATATTCGATAGACTGACTGGTACTCTGTGTGTGATGTGGTCAGCATCACGCCGGCCACCATTACTCATCTTGGAGCCTGTCATGTCCTTTTTAGGACAGCTTGATAACCTTAGGTCTAAAACTCAAAGCATTTGGGATGAATGACACCAATTGGGAGGCTGCCTCTCAAGACCAAAATGCATGACGTGCAGCTCTACACAAGGGCGCAGCTACATGTGAAGCAAACAGAAGAACAAGACTTATTAAGAAAAGGATGGACAGAAAGGGGACTGCAGGAGATCCCCTCCCTGGCACTACGCTCATTCCCTGTCCTCACTGTCCAAGAACTTTTTGGGCCCGCATCGGCTTCATCAGTCATCTTTGTACTCATACTTGATGAAAAAGAGTGGTCATCATCATCTTGATGGACAACACACACTCCCCTTAACTTTACCTTGTACCCATTTAAGGCAGGGTCAACCTAGGAGCCAATGTCATTTTTGAAAAATGTCAGGCTCCATCAAGATTTGAATCCATGTGGTCAGTCTAACCTTAAAAAAATGGGAAAAAAATGGGATTTTAAAGAGTTTTCTGGAAATTTGCTGTGAAAGAAAGATCATGAGGAAGGAAATTTATCCCCCCACTTAATGTGCTATACATGGCTTGGGGGTATGAAAATCGAGTAATTCACAAATTACCAAATTTAATTTAAAAAAAGGCATTTCAAAAAAGGAAGTGGAGGAGTATAAACAAGTTAAATAAATTCTTCTTCCTCAGCATTCCGAGCCTTTGAGGTTCATTGCTGCAGAAATTACCCGCCTCCACTTATCTCTCTGGTTGGCCTTCTCTGTCCAGCCGGTGACATCAAGTGTTATTAGGTCTGTCTGGACATTATCTCTCCTTCGTCTTCATGGTCGGCCTCATGGTCTACTACCATTCAGCTTCCTTATGTATACAGGTTTTTTTACGTCTCTGATATTTTCTCAGTCTGCTCCAGCCATTTCAGTCTATTAGCTCTCATGATGCCAGTGATAAATGGTGATTTAAACAGATTGTGAATTTCATTGTTGATTCTCACTGTCCATTACCCGCTGTTTGCATCTTTCATAAATTAAAAAATTTATTAATTTAATTTAATTATGTATATATGTGTTGAATATTGATCCTTTCAGGGCAGGGAATGTAAAAAACTGTGAATGAAATGATTTTCTGTGAAGTAGATAGATAGAATTTAGCCCATTCTCTCTGAGAAAGTTTTAACTTTAACTAATGAATGTTTTGGTCTGTAATGTGGTGAGCGTCACACTGGCCGCCTTTACTTCCCAGGGCTTTACCTCGTACCCATTTAAGGCTGGGTCCACCTGGAGCCAATGTCATTTTTTTTCAGAAAATATCTGGTTCTGTTAGGAATTGAACCCACAACCTTCGAATTTGCAGAAGATTAGGAAATATACGTTTTTTATGGTTTGTTTTATCTGTAAGAGTTTATTTATGGTTTGTTTTATTTATTTAAAAAAAATTTATACATGGATATGCCTAATTTTATTTATGTATTTGCTTTCATTTTGTGTGGCTATTCAATTATGAAAGGAGTATATGCACATTCTTATATTTGTAAATGTATAATCAGAATAGGAATATTTTATTGTATATATCCAGAGTTTGAAAAGCGATCACTAAGAAGCAGCGCACAGGTACAAGAGGAGCTTGGATGTCCAGTCATTATCCATCCTGGTCGAAATGAACAGGCACCAAGTGAAGTTGTGAGATTATTTCAGGAGGCAGGAGGGAAGGCAGAGCATTCCGTCATGTCTCATCTTGATAGTATGTTTTTTACCCCAATTAATTATGTTTTTAGCTGTAATTTGAGTTCTGTCAATTTTAGCAATGTTTTTTTTTACAGCAATGTCCCTCCATTGTAATTTGAACAAAGAATATTTTATTGTATAATTTTTTATTTTACTGAAGATTAATATTAATTTTTTCTTTAATTTAGTATTTTTAATGAAGAACTTTGCTGAGCAAATATATTGTACTGCATTTAGTATTTAGTGATCATTCCAAAAAAATCAGTTGAATAGAAAATCATTTTGTGTCTTTGTTGTTGTTGTTGTTGTTGTGACTTCTCAGCATATGAAAGGTCTCCTCTTTCTTCTTCTGCCCCTTTTATTCTACTTCTTCCTTTCTCATGCAGGCTTGAAACCAGCAATGGCAGAGAATGTTCTTTGGCACTTTTCCTTCTGTCGATTATGCTGTAGAATGATATGGGAATCATGACCCATGGCTATTTCAGTTAAGACCAGGGAGGAAGTTCCTTCTCTCCACAGCATGAAGCCTGGGCAGTTTTGCTTGTGTTGCTCATACCACATGACTTTGCCCGCTTTGTTGTCTCTTCAGGAGCTACTGGATCAAAAGGGCAGTACTCTGTTTGTCCACCTTTAGAAGCTTCCCTACTAGACCAGTTGCCAATCAAGACTTAGTTGGACTACCCTGCCTAAACAGGAATTTTTCAGGCTGCATTTCCCTATTTTAGGATAAGTCTAGTATCATCCCCAATGCGTTTCTCATGATTGTTTACTATCTAAAAATTATAACTTGATCTTGAATTGAAGATCAGTATTAGATTTGGCATAGTGAGGGTAGTTTATTTTTCTAGTGTATTTTTCTATGTTATTTTTTTTTAAAGGGGTTGTGTCAGAGTGTGGTGTGTGCAGTTATGGGACGGTGGAATTGAGACAGTCTGTTGTTTGTTTATAGGTGAGCTGTCAGGCTGTGACAAAAGCTACGAGTTGGATCGGACAATGAGAAGTCAGACCTCAGATGTTAGACACGAGACATCTAATAGATCGATGGTTTAAAATCTTAGTGTTGTAGGAATATTTTAGTGACTGATAGATTGTGGTAATATGTTTCATTAAGATATCATAGTCTCTGTTTTTTTTTGTAGCATTTGACGATGACAGTGTTTGGTATAATTTGTCACGTAAATAGTGTTGAAGTATTCTGATAACCAGGGTCGGTATTGGACTGGCTATTATGGTATTGTCTATCCCTGCACACTGTCATCTACACTTTGCAGTTACTGTGTGACTCTGGTGGAGTCCAGTTACATAGAAAAGAACGTATCAGGAATAGTGTGGGTTTGGACCTGAGTAATATCCATAGGGACAGGAAGTCGTGCATAGCAATTTGTAAAGCCATCACGGCCTGCATTTCGGGTAAGGGTACCCACATCTCCTGACGTCAACTGTCTCATCTTAGTCTGCGCTTTACATTAAAGATTGTTGTGTGTGCTCTATGGGTGTTCGGTTTAGTGTGTTTTTGGATAGATTGCCTGTCATGGGCCTGTATAACGAGCCATATACCATCATGGTAGATCAGAAGTCTGTGTCAGGATGTTACTATGGGGCAATTTGACTGTACATTTTGCATGTAAATTTTAACCATACATTTCCTTTCAAACGCAGGGACATTTTTTGACATGTCTACTTGGTTAGAGTTTGCCGAGCTGGGGTCCTACATTGAGTTGGACTTGTTTGGTACAGAAGTGTCCTACTACCAACTGAATGAAGCCGTAGACATCCCCAGTGATGCCCAGAGAATCCAGACAATTAAAAACCTGCTTGATGAAGGATATGAAGATAAGATTGTTCTGAGTCATGACATACACACAAGACATAAACTGGTAGGTGATGTTTGGAGTCATGATATACATACAAGGCATAAACTGGTAGGTGATGTTTGGAGTCATGATATACATACAAGGCATAAACTGGTAGGTGATGTTTGGAGTCATGATGTACGCACAAGACATAAACTGGTAGGTGATGTTTGGAGTCATGATATACACACAAGACATAAACTAGTAGGTGATGTTTGGAGTCATGATGTACGCACAAGGCATAAACTGGTAGGTGATGTTTGGAGTCATGATATACGCACAAGACATAAACTAGTAGGTGATGTTTGGAGTCATGATATACGCACAAGACATAAACTGGTAGGTGATGTTTGGAGTCATGATATACGCACAAGGCATAAACTGGTAGGTGATGTTTGGAGTCATGAAATACGCACAAGGCATAAACTGGTAGGTGATGTTTGGAGTCATGATATACGCACAAGACATAAACTGGTAGGTGATGTTTGGAGTCATGATATACGCACAAGGCATAAACTGGTAGGTGATGTTTGGAGTCATGATATACGCACAAAACATAAACTGGTAGGTAATGTTCGGAGTCATGATATACACACAAGGCATAAACTTGTAGGTGATGTTTGGAGTCATGATATACATACAAGGCATAAACTGGTAGGTGATGTTTGGAGTCATGATATACGCACAAGACATAAACTGGTAGGTGATGTTTGGAGTCATGATATACGCACAAGACATAAACTGGTAGGTCATGTTCAGAGTCATGATATACGTACAAGACATAAACTGGTAGGTGATGTTTGGAGTCATGATATACACACAAGACATAAACTGGTAGGTCATGTTCGGAGTCATGATATACATACAAGACATAAACTGGTAGGTGATGTTTGGAGTCATGATATACATACAAGGCATAAACTGGTAGGTGATGTTCGGAGTCATGATATACATACAAGGCATAAACTGGTAGGTCATGTTCTGAGTCATGATATACATACAAGGCATAAACTGGTAGGTGATGTTTGGAGTCATGATATACATACAAGGCATAAACTGGTAGGTGATGTTTGGAGTCATGATATACATACAAGGCATAAACTGGTAGGTGATGTTTGGAGTCATGATATACATACAAGGCATAAACTGGTAGGTGATGTTTGGAGTCATGATATACATACAAGGCATAAACTGGTAGGTGATGTTTGGAGTCATGATATACGCACAAGACATAAACTGGTAGGTGATGTTTGGAGTCATGATATACGTACAAGGCATAAACTGGTAGGTCATATTCTAAGTCATGATATACTCTTGAGACATAAACTGGTAGGTCATGTTCTGAGTCATGACATACACACAAGGCATAAACTGGTAGGTGATGTTTGGAGTCATGATATACGCACAAGACATAAACTGGTAGGTCATGTTCTGAGTCATGATATACGCACAAGACATAAACTGGTAGGTGATGTTCGGAGTCATGATATACGCACAAGACATAAACTGGTAGGTAATGTTCTGAGTCATGATATACGCACAAGACATAAACTGGTAGGTGATGTTCGGAGTCATGATATACATACAAGGCATAAACTGGTAGGTGATGTTCGGAGTCATGATATACATACAAGGCATAAACTGGTAGGTGATGTTTGGAGTCATGATATACACACAAGACATAAACTGGTAGGTGATGTTTGGAGTCATGATATACATACAAGACATAAACTGGTAGGTGATGTTTGGAGTCATGATATACATACAAGGCATAAACTGGTAGGTGATGTTCGGAGTCATGATATACGCACAAGACATAAACTGGTAGGTGATGTTTGGAGTCATGATATACGCACAAGACATAAACTAGTAATTCATGTTCTAAGCCATGACATATGCACAAGACATAAACTAGTAGGTCATATTCTAAGTCATGATATACTCTTGAGACATAAACTGGTAGGTCATGTTCTGAGTCATGACATACACACGAGACATAAACTAGTAGGTCATGTTTTGAGTCATAACATACATATGAAATATAAACTAGTAGGTCATATTTTGAGTCATGGCGTACACACATGACATAAACTGGTCAGTCATGTTCTTAATCTCAAGAAATTAATCCACTGAACTGTGATTAAAAATCTCAGCTCATTCGATCCCATGCAACATACAGTGTGTGAATGACACTATCGCTTGATTTTCCCTCCATTTCATGATCTCTTCAGTTTAACATTTCAAATCTGACTTCTCCATTGTAATTACGACAGTGCATATTGCCCCTTGGAAGGTAATGCATTCATGCTTTTTTTTTTCATCGTAGTGATACTTTCTCCTATGTTGTTGTGATTTTTGTTGACAACGGCTGCTGCTGAAATATTTTTGTTCCTGTGGGTGGGGGAGTCCAGAACAGTAGCTGTCTCCTGCACTGTGACAGTTAAACTACTGATGGTGTCTTTACAAGCCGCTCCTTACATTTGACAGATTAGATCTCAGGCAGGCAATCTTCTTGCCCATAGATCTCTGTAGACCATCTGTTAGACACTTTCATACAAGTTTTTATTTCTTCTTTTTTTTTTTTTAAACCAACTGTTGATAAGTAATGTCAAGAAAAGTATGCCTTCATTTGCTTTTCTTTTTCTGTGTTTATCTGAAGATGTAATTGCGTGGTGCCCATTTACAGCATGGCTGCAGTATTTGCACCTTTCAGCCGACACATCCTACTTCTGCAGGTATTTGTTGACCAGGTTAGGCTTCATTGTTATTTGCTGTTCAATATTTGTGCACATTTGAAATAACCAGTACCAACTTAAACTCTTACTCTTACTACTTGTTTTTGCTTATTTATCTTTTCTTGTTGTTGTTCTCTGTTTCTTATGTTTTTTATTCATCTGTTGTATGTACAATGTCTTACACATGCTCTTGTATTGAACTGTTGTTGTCAAATTTTATTTTAATAGATAAAATATGGAGGTCATGGCTACTCTCATATATTACTCAATGTTGTACCCAAGATGCTTCAGAGAGGAATAACCCAAGATCAAGTGGATAAGATGATCAAGTTCAACCCCCAAAAGTGGCTTCAGTTTTTCAAGTGATAAAGAATGATTTGCTTTTCATCGACTTCCAGGGCATCTATGTAATAGCACTACTAAATGTCTAGGTATTTATTGGCAGTCATGTAAGATTGGGGAATGGTATCGATTTTTGGGGTCTATGTGGTGAAATAGAGAGTCACCGTGACGGAGCGGCTAGATGCTCACTGCAGATCAGAAGGTCATGAGTTCACTCCCTGGCAGAGCAGGACTTTTTTCAAAAATGGCTTTGGTTCCCAAGTCGACCCAGCCTACAGTGGGTACCGGGTGCAGTCCCGGAAACTAGAGGCAACCAGCGTGATGCTGACCACATCACCCACTTTGTGCCGATTGGTCTATAAAAATATTAGTCTAGCCCTATATGCCTAAAGGCGTGGAAAAGGGTCCTTTTCTTTACTTTTTTTGGTGAAAAAGCGATAACAACAAAATGTTCTCAGGGTTTTCACATGGGGGTACGAGACTCGTACTGTAGAAGAGATTAAGCCTCATCATGTAATACTTCCAGAGACAGGAGCGGGTATAAACTGAAGCCATGTTGAAGATGACACATTTTTTGTTTAGAATAAAATGAGAAGATGAGACTTTTGGTGCTATAAATTGATAAGCTTGAATTCTGCCTATATGTTTTTAGTTTATGATTTAAGATCCCTACACACTTAGTAATTCCCAGGAGGAGATAGGAGCACTTATGATCAGGTCCAATGTGCGATTAAGATGATGTTAAAATGAACAATGTCCTGTAAAGTTTCATGCGACGAGTCATATTTTTTTTTCTTAAATAGTGCCTTAATGTTCATGTCAATAGCAGACCTAATTAGTGGTAACGTCTTTTTTAAGAATACCTAGTTAAATTAATGTTGCACTACAGGTTTTCATGGGTGTCTAACTAGGTAAGTGTTGAATACATCCACCCTTTTATAGATGGATTTTGCAGTACACCTTTATATGGGTGTCTGGTTGGACCTTTGTCAGAGTACACACTTTTATATATGTGTCTAGTAAAGCCACTGCCAGAACGCACACTTTTGTTTGTTTTAAACACAAGTCTAGTCACAATGTGGATGTTTTGAATGAGTACTGAAGTATGAATATATCTTGTTCACAGTTGTCTAGTTAGGAAAGTGTCCAGGTACATCTTTTTATCAGTGACGAATGTTGAATGTTGAATTAACAGTTAACATCAAAGCACTCTAGACACTCCCATAAGCACTCTGTTCCCCTCCCATAAGCACTCTGTCCCCATCTTCAGCAGGGAGCGAAGAGTTCCAGTTCTGATAGTACCAGTAACTGTTTTGTCTGTGTCTAATTAGGTGAATGTTAAAATTCACCTTTGAAAGAAGGTCTTGTTGGGCAAATGTTGAGGTAAACTGTTTTTTTTTTTTTTAAATGAAGGTCTAATTGATTAATTGTTGAAAGTTGAAATACCCCTTTTAAAAAGGTCTAATTGGTGATGTTGGAATACAGCTTTTTAAGAAGAAGTATCATACAGAAAATTATTTTATTTATGTAATTTATATTTAATGATTCAATTAGGGTATAATTTAAGGGTATAAAATAACAGGATGTCCGTGGTATCGATTTAGAATTATTTATGTAATAATATTTTCCTTTGCTGTTTTAACTATTTATTGTTTTAAAATTCTGAAGAACTATGTTTTTCTGTTAATTAGATTTTGTAATGGTAGATGTACAAATGGGGAGGGGGATGCCTTGCCATAAATTTAAGAGGGGCATCACCTGAAATGGTTGAAATCCACAGGTCTAGTCCACTGTAATGTATGTTTCTTTTGGTTTTTTTGCTGTCATTGTTGTCAATATCTGCTTTGTCCCATTAGAGGTGGGTGGGTGCCTTTGTCCCATTAGAGGTGGGTCTGTGCTTTGTCCCATTAGAGGTGGGTGGGTGCTTTGTCCCATTAGAGGTGGATGGGTGCTTTGTCCCATTAGAGGTGGGTGGGTGCTTTGCCTGAAAAAAAAATCATCATGTTCAACCAGCATACCCGAAGGAGGAGCTTTAGGTTATAATTGTGACTGGGTTATGTGTGCTATATAAAATGGCTATTAGCATTGCATGCCACCAAGAGCCCTGAAAAGGACTCCTGCAGTTTGATGCAATCACAGGAGACAGACTCAAATACTGTCCCAATTGATGACAGAGTCGTCTACCGGCCAGCCAATTAGCGAACAGCTCGGCGGTGTTGCCATTTGACATGACTGTTTAACAGAGCTAAGATGAGCTAAGACGCGCTTCATGCTTAGTTTGCTGTGATATTGTGGTTTTAGGCTATCAGTGACCCCTTCAATCCATCTTCTAGGTCTCCTTCCACTTGGTATGTTGTATGTTCTCCGCTCCTGCATCATTGGATTCATTCTGATCAGATGGTTAATCCATTTCAGTCTCTGATCTCATGAATTTAACAGTGGGTTTTGTTTCAGCACTTCTAATCTCTTCATGTTTAACATGATCTCCTCTGGTTTTGTTTGCAGCATTTCTGACACATCTGCTGGGCATGTTAGATTCGGCAAAAAATTCTTCACTTTCTTGGACTGGTGCTGTTTATTAGCCAGTAGTCTTCAGTGTTCAGATCTTGTAGATGTTGCTTTTTTTGTTTTTAAATAGAAAAATAAATGTGTCCACCATGAGACAGATTAAAAACTGTCAAATGATTATACAAATTAGATGTTAGTTTTATATCCTTTACGGGACATTACAGAACCAACCCCAGCATTTTTTGGTGTTGTGGTTTTTCTTGGCAAATTTATGCCCGGTAGTTTGCCATTGCTTTCTGGACAGTCACCTTTTCGATACCACTGTCAAAACCAACGCAGGGAAATTAGATGTAGACAGCATTTTGTTGGTACATGTTGTGAGAAGGAGTGGACTCTTTGATTCAACTGGCAAGTCTGATGGGAAAAGATCAAGAGGAAGGCAAACAGATAAATACCTGGATGGCTTGGCCATATGGATGGGATGAGACAAGAACCTGACCATGTGAGGTGATAAAACATGACCGCCTACACACCTATCAGCAGGGTTGCACCATATGCCTATAGTCCTTCCTGTGTGGAAACGAGACCTTCATTTTATTTTTGAGGGGGCTTCAAAATTAAAACTTTCGGAGTGGCGAAGAAGTCAAGCCGTTTGCCTCAAGCTCTGAAGGTCACGGGTTCATTTCATGGCCGCGCCTTTCAGTTCACGTGTGTAATTTTTACGGAGATCCCTGGGGATCATCTACGGAGGTTGTGTTCTGTGCGCCACTCTCAGCAGGCAGCTAGCTGTTCTGCAGAGAGAGACTGAGCCATATGAGATAAAAACCCAGTGCAATGAAGTTGTTAGTCTCACCTTTAACTTTATCTGTTTGTTTAGAGAGAATAGGGAAGGGGAAAGGGGAAAAGGGATAAACCTGTTGCTCTGCCCCCCTCCCTCCAGCAAGCCATATAAGGAAACTATGTCATTAGATGAACCAGGATGTGGTGGACCAGAAGCTGCAGATATTGCAGCCTAGCTGTAAACAACGTGCCAAATAAGGCCAAATGCAGAAGAATAACTATGCTTTTTCAAATTGTATACAAGAATTTTGTATATGCCTATACTGTAGTTATTGAAGAACATCTTGTGCAATATATTTTTGTCATTGAGAGTTAGAAAAAGAATTCTTGCTTACTACACACATCCAGTTTTAACATATGGCTGTGAATCTTTGACAATCGGTAGGCAGGCCAAACAATTTCTGGAGGCCTCGGAGATGTGGTTTTACAGAAGAATGCTTAGAATACCTTAGACAGCCAAAAAGAGCAAAAAGTTTTGAAAGAGGCGGGAGCCCGAAGACAACTTATCACAGACATCAGAAGGAGACAGTCATCATTTTTCGGCCATGTTATGAGAAGAGGGAAAATAGAACATGTTGTGACCACTAGAAAGATCTGTGGAAGGAGGGATAGAGGAAGACAACGAGAGAAGATTCTTGACAGTTTTGTTGCATGGTATGAAGGTGTGTCGGTACACGAACTGATACATGCTGCAGCAGATTGCAGAATGTGAAGAGGCATGATTACCCACGCCATTCGGCAAGGCACCTGATGATGATGATGATGTAGTTAATTACATGTTTGTTTTTTAATTATATACCTAGTTTATAAGTATCATGTATCATTATTAGGTATTTGGGCAGTATTATTCTGGATGCCTTTAAATTTCCAGTTGTAAAATAAACAGAGTTGAAGCTTTGGTAGGCTGATGTTTGTTGAACCTTTGAATGTTTGTTTGTGTGAGAATTGACCATTCCAGCATCTACAGATCTAGCGCTACATGCCCAGAGAAGGACGCATCATCATCATCCGGTTGTACCATTATATGTCACATACTATCACAGTTTATTCTTCCATTCCATTCTATCCTGACATTTAATCAATCAGTCAGGTGTCATTTCCGCAGTGAAGGTTGGCCACAAGGGATCTTCAACACATTATGTATCTTGTCTTGCTTGTACACTCTGTCAGACTGCTGTTTGTCCATTTCCTGATGTTATCCTCTCACTTATAACATTGTGTGCCTCTTGCTGTCCTGCCCTCGACCTTTCCTTTGAGTATGGTTTTTAAAAGTATATAATGTCTTTCAGTGTGGCCAAAATATTTCATTAATATCTTTTGTTTTATTTCTTTTACCAATTCTTTTTTCGCTTCAGTCTTTCCAAAACCTCTGTATTTGACTTCTTCCATGAAATACAACATAGTCTTCTGTGTATTGAATGAACAAATGAATGAATGAGCTGTATTTTTAAAGGGTTAAGAACTGGGCACACATGCCTATCTTCCCCATTTCCAGAAACTGATTTTTTTTTTCTAGTAGTAATTTTTCAGTGCAGTTGTTTTAATGTTATGAATGGAATCAAGCCCAGCACTTTTGGCTTCTCTCAATGTTCATCTACGAAATTCTGTTGGACGTTCTCATCTAAAACACCCTTCTTAAAAGTGTAGCCTGTTTAGCCTTTGTTAAACCCTGTTCT